AAATGTGGCGGGACAAAAACAAAGTCCGAGTCGGGTGGGTAGAGCGGATGGTGGATGGGTCAAGCAACCAAGGACCTTCACTAAGGAGGCCTGTGTTCACTTCCCATAAGATTGTAAAACCAAACCCTGTTCTTCCTGTTTTTCCTAAACCCAACCACGTGGGAGTGTTGGCAAAACGTAACCACGTGCCTTTATTGTTGAATGGAAAAATTATTGGTATTATACCAACGTAGTGCATTTCTTTTGAAAGAGACTGTATGCAAACTTTACATTTCCTGTGAAAGGATAGTGTATTTTGAAAACAGATAATGCATGTAACAGGCAGAAGTTGACACCGAGTCCGAGAATGTCAACAACTGAGCACCCAGGGTACCTTGTACGTTATATGTGGACGTGGAAAATCCATGACCAAATGTCAATATGGGACAAGGTTGGAGTGAGAATGTGTTGGCTCTACAGGAACCAATAAGGGGGAGCAGGAAAACTTTGCTGATATTCAACCAGCTGTGTGTCATCGCAGCGTGTGCAAATGAAAGTGTTTTGCTTCCCCCGGAGTTCCCTACTTGTCCACCCAGCAGAGGGCTCAGACTAGCTCTGACAGTTTGACGGACTATGATAAAGTGACGGGGATTAGCAAAGGGTCAGTTAAAGTTGTTGTCTTTTTGCCATCTGAGTTGCTAATTTATTAGGGACCCACCAAAACTGGGTATTTAAAGCCAAAATATCATCTTTTCTTATGTACAATGTCAACATTTTTTTTCTGGCAATTGGGTTGCTATCTATCTATCTATCTATCTATCCATCTATCTATCTATCTATCTATCTATCTATCACACCTCAGTGCACTCATGAGTATACCACATGTTCATGTTCACAGTCGAAGGAATCGATACCACTTCACCCAGTAGCACCCGTGTCTCTGAGTGTGCCCCGAAATAGGGTGTTGCTGGGGTGTCAGAGGATCACACCCCTGTATGCTTCCCACCTGCTCCAGAACCCACCCTATACTCTCTCATATTGTAGCCACACACACTTTCTCACACACACATGCATGCATCCACCCAGTCAGACTACCCCTAGACAAAGAGCACAAAGCACAAAGGTGATGTAGTGACAGATGCTCCTGTCACATACTTAGCATATCTCCACCTCCAAAATAGTGCAACTGCAGGAGCCAGTCTGACTCCCTCACTCCACGGAAATCAGCGCTCCTATTCATAACTCATTAATTTCCCCAACGGATAAAAGCAGCTCTTAAACCACAATCCTTCACCCAATATTTATCCAATCTGACCAAATATTATAATTAATGCCTCCGTCTCTCCTCTCTCCTTCAGGCCAATATATTCCCCTCATCCTACTCCCTCCCACCCTCTCTAACCTTTCAGTGCCAAGTTCATAGATAGAGAGAAAGTACTTCCTGTGAGAGGCCGGGCCGGCTGCCAGAGAGACTGATCCACCAATCTGACACGTTAATGAGATCCTGGCCCATAGTACTGGAGTGTCAGGCCTCCTCTGCTGCAGCATCAGCCCTGCCGTGACCTGCAACACACACACGTCTTTACTCATATGTGTAATTTTTTCACACATGCACCCACACGCACAGAAATATAAGCATAAATGAATCTGGGTGAGTCTCTCTCTCCACACACACACACACACACACACACACACACACACACACACACACTTTGAGAGGGGGGTTCAGCTCCTTAAATCTGTCTAATTAAAACACCAAATCCCTCTACTCCCCTCACCCACCAACCCAATCCTCACTTCCCAGCCACACACACACATACACACTCGCACCCCACCCTCCTCCATCCCCACTGCCACCACCCCCGATTCCGCAGGAGAAATGATTATTAGGAATTTAATGGGGGAACGTTTCCCATCCCACACCATCTGGGGCTTGGGAATGGCACGAAATTTGAGGATGCTTGCCGACGTGGCGGGGAACATTATTTTCATTTTTTCTTGACTGGTGCTCAGATTTTCAGACATTGCATGAAAAAGGCTCCTGATTACAATAAATTACCATAATATATAACAAAATAAAATAAAGATGCGTTTGTGTTTGTTGTTTTTTCTCTGTTATAGGTGAGCGCACAAAACTTTTCTCAACTTTTCGAGGTGAACGTTGTCATTCTGTAACTTCTCCCTATAGAAACACAATGCTTGTTTTGCACTAATTATGACGCCACATCTCAGATTGCAAATTCACCTCTATACAATATATATCCCCCATTCCCGTCCTTCACCTCCCACACAGAGCCAGGCCATATGCTCCCTCTATCTATCTACCGATACTTCTTTCTCCCCCCCTCCTCTGCCTCGCTCTCTCTGCGCACAGCTTAATGAGCTGCATGAATGTAGGGGTACGTGTACACGTTTGACCCCGTGCTAAACTGCTGCATGCCGCCCCGTGGACTCTGTGGGTGTGAAACACTCCCCTCCTTCAACTCCTCCTCACCCTCTCTGTGAGGCCCCAAGAGGGATTTGAATCTCCTCTGACAAACATGCATACATATATTCACACACACGCGAACACACACACACACGAGTAGAAAAAGCATGGTGACATGGTGAGAATTTTAGTGAATGAAGTAAATAAGGCCTGGTGGTGGTGATGGATGATGGATGATGGCGGGGGGGCTAAAGAGGTGATTTTAGGGCCCCATAGGGACCCCCAGTAACCCGGTATTCCAGTTTTATGATGATACAGAGGAAGAAAACATTGAGTGAGGGAATGAAGATGGGAAAACAGGACCTTCTCTCAATAAAAAAAAAAAACATTGAAGCATTGAATTGTGTTTTCACACACTTCACCAAAAGCAGCACTGATTTCTAAATCAACCTGACACAACTCCCAAATCAGTCTCAAATTCCATGCAGTTGAGGATAATGAGATGTGGTGCCATTTATGCAGTTTGTGATCTTGAAATCGGATTCATTCTTCCAATAAGAGGCGTCCATTAGGCTGACTTTGCGCTTCCTGATTTTCCTTTTTCTTCCTGTTGTTGCTGCTCTTCTCTCACACAATTAAATCTGTCGAAATGTTTGCAAAGCTTTCATCTTAATTTCATGTTCATCTGTGGAAAACAAATGATGATGCGATTAAAAATTAGACTACGATGGCCCTGGAATTTCTCTCTGCAGATAATGAAAAGAGAGCAAGAATTCCATGATGATTTGCAGCCCCCTAATCTGCTGTCTTATTCTTGTCATTAGTTCAACTTTCTACAGAGCTGAATGAATGCTGCTGAGATGTGTTTGCTGCTCTTCACTCGGTGTACCTTTCTTCTTCTTCATTAAGTGGCTTGACAGGACTTAGATTAAAAACATTGTTCTTTATGTTTCAAAAGTGTCAAATATAGTGTCATACATGTGTTTTAATCCCTCTCTCTCTTTCTCATTAAAGGCCTGCAAGCCCCACACTCAGTCATCTGCTTTTCCTATATGTGGATCACACACTGATTCTCACACCATCTCCATGAAAGTCAGTTATCTAAATATGAATTTCAAAAAGACAGTCATGGTTCATTGCACACAGGTGGTGAGAGCTGTTAAGGTTTCCATATTCTCAGAGGGTTTTCTTTTTTTCAGTGCAGTCACAGCTTTTGCTTTTCTTTAAACATTGCTTCATATATAAAGATGGATTTTGCTCCTGTGTTGTTTTAGAATTGATTTGAAAATTATGGATAAATTGAACTTGGATAGGAGTCGGTACCTTATGGCCAAATGTTTAAGTGATCAGCATCTGTCACATGTGTTGCGGCAGCAGTGGACGCGGTGAACTTTGCGCACTTGACACTTTCAACGTCTCCAATAATCGGAGTCTGGATCTCTGATTGTGAATGGTTTCACCAGGTTTTGATGATGATACATGAAGGAGAAATATGTATTTTTTTTTATTCTTTTTTAAAAAAGTGAAATACAGTCCAAGCAGTGAAAGTAAACCAGTTGATCCAGCCGGTAATATTCAAAACGCCAGTAACCTAATTAATAACAAATAAGTGCGTTTAACTTGTCAGTTTTATTTCTATTTTGTTTTATTTATTTATGTATAGCCCAAAATCACAAATTTGCCTCTACAGTCTGCACAGTGTGACACGTCTGTCCTCAGACTTAGAAACACTAATTTAAATTTAGGATCATATAAAGAGCAAGAAATAAAAGTCCAATGGATTAAAATAAAAACTGAAAAAAGAAACCTTTATTTTTTCTTCTTTTAGAGAGAGAAATGCTGCAACTCCAGGGATCACCAGTTCCACTTCTCTCCTAACTGGGAGGACTGGGATCTCTGGCTGACATCCAACACCTCGTGGGCAATATTTGTTACAAATCAGCCATCTGATCGGCTGGAATTAAATCAAATTATATCGACAAGCCTCTTTCAGATCAAGAATTTCAAAACGCTGCTTTAGGTTTCCACAGCTTTATATTTGAACAGATTGATTTGAAATAATTTAAGTTGTAGTCGTTATAGAAAAATAATTAATAAAATGCATTTTTATGGTTTGAACTTAACATATGGAAAAGAAAATTATGATATTCTTTGAATTTTATGTTGCTGTTATACAAAAGGCCTTATACTCACTGGGTCACCCAAAGCTCAGAGGTTGTGCAAGATTATTACAAGATTCAATTTCATATAAAATAAATAAAAGAAATTCCGCCCGGGGCGTTTTTTTTTTTTTTTTTTTTTTTTTTATTAATCTCATTAATCTAACAATTCATTATTTTTTTAAATGCCGTCTTCCTGCTGTCGATCATTTGCACAGAAAGCTGAGAAGCTGCAACATAAAGCCTCTCACAGCCTCTTCGTTTTATTGCGACAAACACATCACAAAACATGAACACATTACTTCACGAAGATTTCGATCCATAACGAGTTTTCAGGCGTGTGTGTGTGTGTGTGTGTGTGTGTGTGTGTGTGTGTGTGTGTGTGTGATTAAAGAAAATGAAGAATACCATCCAATAATCATCCATAATTCGGGTCAAGTTACAAAATCAACAGGGTTTATGAGTACAGTCACCAACATTGTGCAGAAATACATGAAGTGCATCACAGTTGCTCTTCAGCAGGACCAAGGGAAGTGTAAAAAGTTCACATCAAACTATCCAAAACTGTCATTTCGTTGCATATTGATGGTCATCATCTCTTTTTTTAAGGCATGTTGTTCGGACTCATATAGTTCTGTTCACCTCACACAAAATGACTTTCCTTTCCAGCTGCGGTGAAATATACAACAATGCAACATAAACAAACTTTAAGTGTATGGAAATCCACATAAAAAGGTAACACTGTTGGAATTGTACAATATTTTTTTTATAATATATTATCAACATTCAAATTGACGGACTTATAATAAATAAGCTTAAATAAATAAATACAGTAATAATTTACATTCACCTCGTAACCACACTATTTACTCCAAATACAAATGCATTTTAGTTTTTCACTTTTTCCCCACAACTTTCCTCTATTTATAGACCAAGTTCAGATGACATCATCATCATCATCAGGTCTCCTGAACACGTGCACGTTTCCAAACTGGCTGTTTTTTTTTCTCAAAAATAATTAATTTTGTGTAATTGTCATCATTTTTAATTAGATATTCGATTATGAGAAACGCCTTGTGAGAGGAAATAGACATATAACATTTTTATAAGCAAAAATTGCATTTGGCTGCCTTGCATAGCTCAATTGACCTTTATTGCTAACAGACTGAATCTGTGAACTCCAATCATGTCTCAGCAAACTTCCCTGATGAGGTGAAACGTCTTTAGATTTCTTTTTTTCCCCCGGTTGTTTCATTTAGCTGATTTTATTTCGCCACGAAAATGATTTCACTGGCTGCTGTGATCTCATTAAATAAGCAGAAAAATCAAATTAATTGTCCACTGTATCAGCTTTATATAACCCATGTCATGAGCGACATCTGCAGTGTAGCCGGTAGAAAATATAAAGAGCTGTAACTTTAAACAATTTGATCCAAAGCTGCATCTTTAACGAATTACTCTAGATCTGTGGTTTTACACTGGAAAGAAATATGTGGCAGTGAGCCATTAAATCTACATTTTCTTTAAATCAACCAGAGAATCTGCCTTCAGATTGAAATCATTTGACAAGCAGAAACGTTGTCTTTTATGCCTTGTATCGACATGTGTTTTGAGTGAAATCATCATTTCTAATTTGCAGACTTTTACCATGTTTTGAATAAAAACAAGACTGAACGTTTAACACAAAATGACTTGTTAAAATGGGCATTTTTGCAGTGCATTATCGTGTCTGGAGTCCATTTCGTTCCACTCTCGACATCTGCGGGGGGAAATTGCATCGCTTCTAAAACTTGAACTTTGTCCAGCTGATTGATTAATTGTGGAAAGAGCCATTAACTTCCCCTTGTGCTTGGAAGGACTGGCTGCGGACGTGCAGATCGTAGGGGAAACGGCCCTCTGGGGAGACTCGGTACATGGAGTTGTGCGCAAGAGCCGTGCGCCCTGGCGCACTGCAGTAGCGCATACCATAGTGGCTGCCTTTGCCGTAGTCTGGCGGATCGTCGTGTTTTAGGGAGAAAATCCCGTTAAAGTTCATCGGTGGGCTCAGCTGGCCGTCGAAATGCGGGCTCCCGCTGTCTGGGGACGGGTTCTCGTAGTAGGGCTCGTACGCGCCGCTGTAGCTGTAGTGTCTGAACGGCTTGGCGCTGCTGTCCAAGCTGCTCCCGCTGTGGCCGGGGGGCGTGTTCATGTCTGAGCCGGGGTACGAGTACATGGCATCGTATGGCGATCTGCCAGAGAACATGACCTCCCCGTTGTGGTCTGTGAGGAAATTTCTCGCGTTCAGCTGCAAACAACCGGCCACCAAGTTGGTTGTGGGCTGAGATAATCCTTTGCACAAAGTCTGTACGAAGGCGAGGAGGTCTGGTCTCTTCCCTGCGCTCAGCGTCTCTGACAGGGCCCAGATGTAATTTTTAGCCAGTCTAAGGGTCTCAATCTTGGACAGTTTCTGAGTTTTGGAGTAGCACGGCACAACTTTGCGCAGGCTCTCCAGCGCGGCGTTCAAGCCGTGCATTCGGCTGCGCTCTCGGGCGTTGGCTTCCTGGCGCCGTAATTTGGCCCTGTCGTGCTCCTTGCCGGCCCTCTTTTTTCGCGGGCCCCGCTTTTTAGGGAGCCCATTGTCATCCTGATCGTCCTCCCTTTCGTCCTCCTCTCTGTCGGAGATGTCCTCCTCGGCCTCCCTCATGTCTGAGTTGGACCTCTCCGGCTCGTGTTGCCGCTCCTGCTCCAGGCTCTCAGGTAAGCTTTCACGGGGATAATTGGCACCAAACCGCGGCTCACACATCATATGAGGTTCCTCGAATGGCAGTGTCAACATATTTCCTGTGAAGAATCAAAGCCGAAACATAAACTATCAGGACAGAGTACAACACCGACGTCTTCTGAAGGTTGTCAGTTAATTACCTTGTGAATGGGTCCTCCCAAGAGGAAGAGGAACAAATTGGCAAGCAAGGCCAATGTCACAGCTTGCTACCTTTTCAAAGACACTCAACTTCTTTGTCTTTGGACTTGTGAAAAAACAACCTTGTTTTAAGCCTTATCACATACTTGATTTAAAAAAAAGTCAATTTAATGAATAAATAAACTAAAAGTCAACACATTAATGAGTAATACAGTAATAATACTACTAACCTCTGGTCAGCGTGCACCTCGCATGTTCCCAAAAATCTCCTCTGAATCTGCGCTGCAGCTTCTTCTCGTGCAAATCACAAATTAGAGGGAAAAAGCTGCAACCTGCGGACTCTCTTTTTCTCTGTCTCGCTGTGTTGTGCTGTTCCTCTTCTCTTCTCTTCTCTCTCCCTCACTCTCCCTCTCCCTTTCTCTCTTCCCCTTCCCTCTCTCTTTGAGGAATGACACTCATGCCAACAGCGGGTACCCATGCCATCTGCCGCTGACGTCTTGTGGCAGCCGAGACCACGTGTTCAGCGTCCCATGGGACCTCCATTCCGCACCGATCATCTGGCAGCTCCGGTAATGGGCACCGGGAGGCCCGCGTTTACCGTCAAAAACACAGACCGGAGAGGGATAACAACTAATATCTGCGTGTAAGAAAGATGAATTAATGTCTTTTTGTCTGGAAAAAAAGAAGCAGAGATGAGCTTGTTTGCAGGCATCCTCAACAGGTGAGACAGACAGACAGACAGACAGATAGACAGATAGATAGATAGATAGATAGATAGATAGATAGATAAGCTGACAAGTTGTTAGGTAAGTTGTTTCAGTTGTGTGAATGCTGCCTCTTTATGTTCAGTTCTCATCATGTATTTTGGCCCTGATGTGTATTTAGTAGTAATTGCACATAAAAATCTAGTAATGCAAAATATGCAGGACATTCATAGTTAAACACACACATACAGTAGGCTATAAACCCGTGAAGGTCCTTGACTAAATCCCAAAGCGAGGTAATTCAATTACATTAAATTAAACCAATTATAAATGCATTTCTGATGGAAGCTGCAAATAAGGAAAACAAAAAGGCATGTTGGGACCAAGAGGATTTCAATTATTCAGATATACTTAACCCCATCTGATCGGGGTCTTCCTCATCTTATATCACAGACCTTATTCACCAGGTCTCTTGGATCTGGTGGCAAATTGTTCTTGTATTTCCCACGATCACGACTGAAACTAAAAGATGACACAGCCTGAACTCTTTACATTTTAATTTTTTTCTATAGAGCACTTTGGTCAGCTGTTTAAATGTGCTCCTCAAAATTAATTACCTTACTTATTTAAACAAGTAAAAAAAAGGTACATTGAACACTGTGTTATTAACCTTACTTCTTGACTTTCAGAAACTTCACAAGAACTGCTTCTGATGATGAACATTATTTTAACCTTCAGAAAATGAGACATTACTTTCCTCTATAGACCCTCTGGAGTCTAACTGACCCCCACAAGTGACTTCCTTACTCTAAGTCGGGTAACATACTGTACATTTCTTTGTCTACAAATTACAAACTGCATAATTTGTATTTGCACCTTTCCCTTTCCAGTTTGTGGCAAAGGGAGGGGATATCATTTCAATACTGTTCAACATATTAGTCCATATTAAATACTCCCAAGATAAATGACAGCATCGGATGTTTAAGCAAATGTCCACAAATGATTTAAGCATATGTTCAGGTGACAAAGCCCTGCAGCTATCTTGGTAATATCTTTCTAACCTTACCTAAGTGTTTAGTGTAGCCTAAACCACAATCTTTCCCTAACTAAGTGTTACTTGTGCTTAAACCTAATGAAACATTACACATAATGAAGAAAAATAGGGAGTGCTGCACTGGGTTAAGGCTCTGTGGAGTTAGCTTTAATAAATCAGGTGCTCTTCTAGGATGGGGCAAACAGCCGCTTAAAGTAATGCACACATAAAGACTCTCTAGTTGAAACGCGTTGGTTTATCCATGTATTAATAAAGGATTTTTAGCTACAGTCAGAGTGGTCTTTTACACTGAGTGAGCTGGCAAGTTGTTGTTTTTTTATCCTTAAACATAATGTTTTAACATCTCAAAGCTGGGTTATTATAACGATGTTATGCTGATAGAGAAGTCAGATCAGTAAACACAACTATGTGTCATTGTAGAGTCAGTTATGATGTATTGTGTTGGTAAATTTGGAGGACTTGATGGGTTAAATGAGGTCAGAAAAATGTGTGAAAAAATGGTTGATTTTGCAATTATGATTATTATTATTATTATTATTATAATTATACAGCTTTTCGGTGAAATAGTGATGAAGTATAGAAGCCAATCTCAACAAAACACAAGGGTTGACTATGGGGGGACTATGTGGTAAATTACACAACATTATTACTATTTTTATTGAGTCATCTGCAGACCATTCTCGATGAATATTAATCTTTGGTCCAAAAGAAGAATAAATTATCAAAACTGCTTGTCACATTTTCCCAGAGTCCTTGTTGACGTCATCAGATGTTTTGTTTTGTCTGACCAACAGTCCAAAACCCAAACATATTCAGTTTAAAAGAGAGAAATGATCACATCCTTGCTGAAATCTGAGAATATTTGGCAGTTGATTGACGATTGATTGATTGCAGATTAATTTTCTATCAATCAGCTTATCGACTAATCGTTGCAGCTCTATGTAAGATTGGAAAATTCCAGCAGGCATCTCACATGCAGAGGATGATGTGATACCACGGGGGCGTACACCGTGTTGGTACCTCAGGACCGTAGACATTAAGTACACCCCGTGGAAAAGGCCCAGTGGCACGCTGCCAAATCCACACTGGGGCACAGCTGGCACTCGATATGGGTATATGCACTCCTCAGTTATGTGGAACACACACACAAGTGCACACACAAATGTATGCCTGTGAATGACCTTGTTGCAAGGAGAATCAATTAAAGCAACTTATCAATCTCTCTGTATCGGACATTAGAAGACATCGATCAGCGGCGCAGGCCCCGGCAGCAGCACGAGCTGACAACACCTTGGTGTGAGTTCAGAGCGTGAGGGGCCACACCAAGGTTTAGGATAGCGGGTGACAGCGTGTACACACACTGGTGACTGTGCATACGCTTAACCTTTATGTGTGCGAGACAGCACCAAACATGTGTTCACACAAATACAGGCAAGTGTGTGTGAGCGTGCATGGGGACAAACATGAGCACACACACCCCAAAAAACATAAAAATAATGATAATAAAAAAAAGAGTGCCTTCATTGCTGCCTTCCCCCCAAAATGCCTCAGCTGGTCTGCTGATCGTTCTGGTCCAGCGCACACACACTCACACACTCACACACTCACACACATACACACACACACACACACACACACACACACACACACACCAGCATCTGATGAGTCAAACTCCCCATCTCAGACTAATCAGTTGACTGCACTAATTGCAAATGCAAATATGCAAATTTATATTAATTAATTACTCCACTAATTAGTTCTCTTGTCTTTTCAGGTAATAAATCATGGTGTGGTTGAGAGGGAAAGAGAGAGACATGGCAGTGATCTTTTGTCTGTGAGAAATCTTCGTTTCAGGGCTGAATCTGATCCTGTGATGTTTTTAGGACAGTTTTCATCACAAAGAGTCTCTCCGCCGAGACTCCTTGACTTTTTTTTTTTTCCCCCTTTTCTCACAACAATCCTAAGCCACTTAATTATTTCAATTGATATTTCAAGTGTCATACTTCAAGGGTGGAAGCATTGTAATTTGAGAGGTATAACAAATAGCAGAGGTTGGTAAATCAGGGTGTCTCACTGACAGTTCTTGCCTGTCAGCTCTTTTAATTATCACATTATCAGCTTTTATAGGCACGGTGCGTGGTGTAGAGCTGCAAATGAAGGCGCCACTGATTGCACGCTGAGTTGCAAGCGTTTCTCAATTGATGTCAGCACTTAAAGGAAGTTTGTGTCTGGATGATGAGTGCGAGGTGAAGTGGTTGAGGATGTAGTAGTGTTGTGGTGGTACGACGTGATTCTGTCCAAAGTCTAATTCACTGTGTTACTATTTCTAATCACTTCCTTAGTAAGAACCCTGTGAGGCAATCCAACGCTCCGGAATGAACTCCAAATGCAAAGCATGTCTTCATCATCCTGACACTGACTCCATAATGAGCATTTCACTGGTAATTTTCAGTTTCTCAACGATCTAACAACTCTCACTATTTGTTTTGTATTGCTTTACGTTGAGGTGCATGAACAATTTACTAAATCTAAATAGGGAAGTGCTTAAGCAGTCCCAAATACAAGTGCAAGTGATTTATTTTGAGTTCTTGTTGATACCTAATACCCAGAAGAATACCTCAGCTGCGGCTGTTTAATCACTTCACTTGTTCTCACACCATAAACCTGTTGCTGGCAAAGTTATTGTCTTTATTTAGAATAAAAAGCTCTCAAATCTCATAACATTTGGCTTTTGTAGAACCGAAAGTGTATCTACAGTTTTTCTTTCCTTTCTTTCCCCTTCCTTTATTCAACCAGGTGAAGTCTGCTTGAATTAAAATCTTATTTCAAGAGAAATCAGGCTAATAGGACGCAAACTACCACCCCTGTCACCTAGAAATTTTATTTTGACTGTTTTTTGTTTTTTTTTGCCTGGATTATGTCAGGCTGCTCTCATGCACTGTTTGTATGTATACTATGAAAAGTAGTGCAGCAGAGTTCGTATATAACCCATGTAATTGTGAGCTAGTGATCTGTGTATAACCCATGCAATCGTAAATGCTGCAATCATGTGACTAATACACTGATGTGAGAAAAAAACAAAGCAGTATAAAGAAAGTCCTCCTAGGGAGGAAGGTTGGGGTGGTGGATTGGTCAAACAAACACAGGACTTTCCCACAGGAGAGTGGCATTCAGGACCGTGTCATCCAAGTGAGGTTTGAGTTACTTTAGGGTACGTCATCACCATGTTTTTTTCTTTCCTAAACCTAACCTTTGTAACTTTTTGTTGAGTACGTAATGTAATTCGTAGGGCACTAAATTGTTATATCTCATAAGAACCATTGTATGAGGATACATTAATTATGTGTCCCAGGTTGTCGTCGGACTGTGAACATATAAACTGTAGGATAGGCTGACCAAACGTCCTCTTTTGCCCGGACATGTCCACTTTTCACGTCCTGTCTGCGGCGGAAGGTCCGAGGCTTCCAGCGAGGGGAGAGGTAGAAACAAACAGCCAATGTGTGTGTGTGTTCTGTTCAGGTGTTGTCACGTAAATAACAGTCCCCAAGCAATAAACAGGACAGACAATAGGATTTTATTTATTTTTACACTACATTTTCACTGAAAGCTGACCGAATCCGACCCGAGCCCGAATACAATTTATAC